ATTCGCGTTTATTTAATTTTTTATTATTAATAAATAATACGATAAATTTCTTGATATAACAAAGTAAAACTACCCGAGTCTTTCAGCACTAAATAAATATATGCTAAATAATTTTATTCTTATTTTTAATAAATCGAACACGTTTTGATTAAACATTTTTTTAAATATTAATTCCATGAAATCTATTCTTAAAAACCTTATCCGGATCATTTAAATGTATTATGCTTGCCTTATAAGTTTATTTTTAATGTGTATAGAACTTGTCCAAATTTGAATACCTCAAGATGTTTTGAAAATGTTTTTTATTTCTTAGTTTTATTATAATGTTATATATAATATAATATATAATTACTATTATATGATATAATAATAATAGTAATAATATATAGTTAATAATATAGTATATATATAATAATATATATAATTAATAATATATAGTTATATATAATATTATATATAACTAATGTTATCTAATTATTATAACGGTACCCCCTCCTCTACATATAAAATAGTTTCCAAAGGACTGTCTAGTTTTGAATTTGGTTGGAGCTGCCTGCAGGATACTTGAATTCTGGAATTCCTGTGTATATATTAGCTTACATTCATCTTCATCTGACACGTGAACAGGAAATTTCCTATTAAGGTATTCAATTAGTTGAATTGAGCGAGCAGACCTTCAGCTTTCATTCGTTCGCTCGTTTCACGTAAGTCGTCGTAAGAAGATGCGAAAGTTGTTAGGAGAAGAAACAAGAGTCTGCACCAATCAGGGAATGATAGTATCTGTTCCGCAATCAATGCAAACCTTCACATTTTGACGAAACAGAAGTGGTTCAAGGCTTAATCACGGCGCATGCGTGCGCACGATGTGTGTGTAAAAGTGACAGTAAAATTCGTATTGTAACAAGCTTGTTGGATGTTGTATCCAAGATATCATTACCGATACTATTTGGATCAACATATTTTCATCTGCATATGTATTTTATTCTCGCATTTGGAACATATAATGGAGGATTATATTATATTGTCAGACTAATTCATTGACATGAATATGTATGCAGTGTACACGTAATAAACAACATCAAAATAACATGAACAATATCTATTATAATTGAACTACATGATACAAATTTGAAGTGCGATTGTAAGTTCACGTGTATTTACAGTCGAAGAAAAGACAAAAAAGAGAAATTTGAATCGACATATGATTTATAAATTTTATTACATACTTATGGATGATGACAAGAGTATTACTATTAAATTCAAATGAGACTACTACATTGTCACAGTAGTAGGAGGATGAATGAACAGGTAGCATGAAGAAACTGATAGTGAAATTTATTTAGAAGAGACTTTACACTGAATCTCCAATGGTTAAAAGAGAATTTTTAATATTTACCTTCGTCGGTAGTAATGGATGAAAGTGATAACGCTTTAGAAAATGTACAAGAAGCATTTTTAGTTTTAACAGAGAGCTTTCTGAAGCAAGGTGCTTCATTGTCAGAATTGAAATCTGTCAGTGTAAGAAATCATGCAAGGCACAAAAGAAGTTCTGTCTTCCATTATCTGTGTTCGAAGAAAGCTTTCCTTGTCTTATTTGCGCCAATATTTTGTACTATATTTTTAAAATATTTATATATCGATATTGTTAAAAGTGTGAGAGGAACTAGATGCTTAGTACCAAATAATTATCTTATATGGGAATTTACGAGGCCGATATCAAATTGCGATTATTGTAAAGATGTTACAACAGCTTTAATTTTACCAAATCTGACTAGAGAGGAATTTAAACAATACGCGTATTCCTCTCGACCGATGGTGATAAAAAATGCTGCAAGTAATTGGCCCGCTTCGAAAGTATTTAGCTGGAAATTCTTTAAAAATTTATATGAAAATATAGAGGGTGCTTATGATTCAGTGGAAGAATGCCAGTTCTTACATTTTAAAAGTAATTTCACTAGTTTAAGAGATGTCTTTGCCATGAGCGAGGATAGAGCCCTGCAACGCAGTGGACAAGCACCTTGGTATGTTGGTTGGAAAAATTGTCATCTACAAATTTTGGATACAATGAAACAGTTTTACAATCTACCTCATTTTTTGCCAGAGGATGCGGAGGTTCCATATACCAATTATGTTTTTTTGGGATACGAGGAAGGTGCCATTATGCATGTACGTGCAATAATAATAAATTGGATGTGAATAACTGTTATACTTCAAAATGGGAATAGAAACTATTTTTAAAAAAAATTAGAAAATTATCAATTGACTTTTTATTGCTTTTTTTCACAGCTGGACTACATTTCTCGTCTAATGTGGCAAGGACAAATCTTGGGTAATAAAAGATGGACTGTGGCTCCAACTCCAGAATGTGATAGTATTTGCAGACGTTTTAACTTTACTGTTTATGCTGGGGACATTATCCTTTTAGATACAAGAATTTGGTATCACAGCACTTATGTCATAGATGGAAAATTCAGTTTAACAGTCACCTCTGAATATGGATAGATGGTTCTTCCAGTATTTGTAAAAAAGAATCTTCCAATAATTTTGGAAACTATATAGATACAGCATTCTATGTGTATTTAAAGGTTTTTTAATTGTGGAATTAAAAAATCCAAACGTTTTAGTGAACTGTTGAATGAAGATTTGTATATCTCTAAAAAAAATTCAATATTGATGCAAATGCTGTTAACGACCAGCATTTAAGTGTTAAATTAGTTTTGTAAAACATTCTTATCCAACTAAATATTTATAGGTGCCATTTTGTAAATGGAAGTTATATAATTACTAAGATATAGAGTACTGCATTTTGGAACGTTTTACACTGCCAATATATTTGAATTGTTATGAATGATTAAAATTTATTACATGTACCGTTTTTGCCATAGTTGGAAGCTAGTCGAAATAAGGTTCTTTGAGCAGCTGTGTAACTATCTGTAATTTAATACAGTTGGTAATTAAACAATTAAAAATTATTTTTATATAGATACATTTAAATTTTTATACATGCGTTTAAAATATACATATTACAGTTTTCATGGGATTGGAATCCAATGTTTTACTTTCAATAAAAAAAAAGACGCGTAGGTTTAAATATGTTTTTATAATTGAAATTTTGTATAGATTTTACTTGAATGCCGATTGTTTTATATTGTACTCAATTGTATTCTTACATATGTACAAATCTTGTGTACCTTTAATAGTTTATAATAAAATGTACGAATACAGGTAACACATTTCTTTTCCATATTCATATGCAATAACTTTTATTTAATATATTCATTTAATTGCGCAAAATACAATAGAATTTCTTATAGAATATTTATACAACCTACACAATAAGTACAATAAAGTGTATATATTCAAAATCGTGAATAATATCGGAAAGATAGGAATATTGTATATTGAAATGCGCACACCAAAACGACATTATAGCAAAACCTAAAGTGGAATGCATATATTTGTTACTATCCAGTATATTACACGTATAATACTATTCAAACAACAACAGTGTGATATCACATCACTGTTTTGTGAATGCAGTTTTACTGATCCTTCTTTTCCGCTGCCTGTTGGAAACTCGGTGGACTTTCCTAAGACAAAGAATTAATTGATTAATTAATTATATAAATTCATATTTTGATATATATATATTATCAAATACATATTTGTACTTACATAGTATGCAGGTGGTGGAACATAGGCACACTGAGGCCTGCTGGGATCATAATATGCACTTTGAGCAGCTTCTGCTGCTTTTGCATCTGAAAAGTAAAAAAATATGAAACAAAACAACACGACACTGAACAATCTATTTATTGTGAAAATATATTCAAATTTTTAATGAATTACATACACGTATATATGTTTAATGCAGTAAATTTAAAATGTTCTGGCATTTTGTGCTTAGTTTTTAAGCCAATTAATTGTCCTAAGAATCTTGAATATGATTCTCTTTATTTAATTATAACTTATGTTATTACGACGCCAAATAATTGTTCCATAAGGTGGTATAATAAGACGAATTATGTTCAATATAACGTTGGAAATACTCTATCTAGAAAATTTAACAAAATCATATACACGTTCATTTTTTATTACTTTTAATAATACACAATTCTTTGTTATAGCATACTTCGATTAAGTTACTCATCGATTACACTTAATGTATATGTAATCGTTTTTGCCCTACTTTGTTGAAAAATATGAACAGTTAATAGTTTTACACACTTTTTCTAACTTAAATAAATCGATTAATGGATAAAAACCTAATTAAGAACACGTAATAACACGTCACGTTCCTTTGAACTATCTCTGACAACTATGAGATAATAACTGAGCATAGTGAAAGTCAACCTTACTTCAGGTCAACCAAACCTGTTGTGCAACATTATTGCATAATATTTAAAACCTTCAGACTTAATAGGTGAAATGTGAAATAGAAAATTTCATGGCATCATTATTAAGTTGTCTTTACGGAAACGATTATTATTATTTTTGTAAAAGTATAATGTTCTTAATTGGTGGGTTTAAATAAAAACAGCAAGTTATATTTGTCTAAATTTTAGTAACATAGTAACTTTGATGTATTATAATAATTATTATAAAGCTATAGTATTATTGAAACAACAAAAGTGTAATACTCTAAAGTAATAGTTAACAATATTGTTCTTCATAAATACATTTCTTAAAAAAAATATTGGAAAGTTAGTATTTATTGTATGTATTGTGTATGTTACATTATTGTGTGCTTTCTGTATATGTTGCATGAAATATAGTAGTACATATATACTTGCATCTTTTGTTTAAAAAAAAAAANTTAATGTATATGTAATCGTTTTTGCCCTACTTTGTTGAAAAATATGAACAGTTAATAGTTTTACACACTTTTTCTAACTTAAATAAATCGATTAATGGATAAAAACCTAATTAAGAACACGTAATAACACGTCACGTTCCTTTGAACTATCTCTGACAACTATGAGATAATAACTGAGCATAGTGAAAGTCAACCTTACTTCAGGTCAACCAAACCTGTTGTGCAACATTATTGCATAATATTTAAAACCTTCAGACTTAATAGGTGAAATGTGAAATAGAAAATTTCATGGCATCATTATTAAGTTGTCTTTACGGAAACGATTATTATTATTTTTGTAAAAGTATAATGTTCTTAATTGGTGGGTTTAAATAAAAACAGCAAGTTATATTTGTCTAAATTTTAATAACATAGTAACTTTGATGTATTATAATAATTATTATAAAGCTATAGTATTATTGAAACAACAAAAGTGTAATACTCTAAAGTAATAGTTAACAATATTGTTCTTCATAAATACATTTCTTAAAAAAAATATTGGAAAGTTAGTATTTATTGTATGTATTGTGTATGTTACATTATTGTGTGCTTTCTGTATATGTTGCATGAAATATAGTAGTACATATATACTTGCATCTTTTGTTTAAAAAAAAAAATATCTGTTTATGTTTCAAATATGGTGAACAAAAAAATGTATACTATATTTCATCTTTATGATATCATATGTCTAACTTCAAGAATTATTGTTTAAACTTTAATTACTTTAAAAAGCAAGAAATTTCACATGTATTATTATTATACAATTAATAAGGCGGTGGGTATTGGTTGTAAGGATTATGTTGTGGATTATATTGAGATTGTGGGTAATTATTGCTTGGAGGATATGCAGAATATGGTGGTGGATTTTGTGCATAACCACTATAAGGTGGCTGCTGGTAATTTGGATACCCACCTGCTTGGGACATTGGTTGACTATTATAATTTGGATTTGCCCATCCTGGCGCACCATTCTGTTGAGGTGGGGCCCATCCAGTTTGTTGTCCAGTAGCACCCCATGCACCTTGTTGGGGTGCACTGCTTGCATAAGGTGAATTTATACCAGGGTACGGAGGTGGCATGTCCGTCATATATACACCATTTGCTACATACATATATGAAACATTTTTAATAATCATATCAACGGTAAATAGTTAATAAATTAACTAATTTTATGCAGGCTATCAATTAACATTTTGACTACCACATCATTGTTCGAAGAATAACACGATCTGTAGTCAACAACTAAAAAGCTAGAAAATAAACACAATATTGGAAAGACAAACAGTGAAATCAACACTTAAGACAGAGATCAGAGAACTTGTTATTATTTTCTGGTCTTAGCAACAAAAATGAAATTTCACTATAGGATTGTGATTTTAATTTTCATGAACTACAGTTTTGCCCAGTAAATATTGTCATGTGTTAATATGGCAGGCAAATTGTTATTAAATGAAATAAAACAAATTATTAGAAGTTGTAAGATAAACATTTAACCTGGTGGCATATCTGGGAATACATTGGTAGGTGGTACCCAACCATAGTATCCAGTGGGTGCTTGATAAGCTGGCGGCGGAGCAGCATACCAATCTGATGTTGGCGGTTGATATGGTGGTGGAGCATTGGCTGCAGGGTCATTGCGTTGAGCTATAAATAAATATAATAATCATTATTAATGTGTTTGATAAACAAACAGGAATAGATTCCAAATATACTTAGTAATCTTACCCATCGCTGCTGCTCTCAACATTGCCTGTCCAAATTCTATAGCACCGCCGCTTTTGAAGTATAACTTGAATTTACATTCTCCGATCCAATTGCCGTTTGGTTGGGCACGACATTTGCCTTTAATATAATTAGATCCAAACATCGGTTGTTCCACTTCGACTTCGTTTAACGTTATAAATGGAAAGCTAAATGACTGCATTTTCTCTCTGTGATCCTTAGCATTAAAGATCATTCTATGTGTAGTTAGGTATAATCGTCCTCGCTTATTTCCAAGGAACTCAGGTTGCTCTTGTCCGTGGAACTCCATGGTGACATTATCGCAGAATAATAATATGCTGAAGAAATGAAACTTTCTCTTGTTAAAATTGTTTTATCAATCGCATCGCATTAAGACAATTTAAACTACAATAATTTGTAAGTGAACGTTTAAATTATTCAAGAAATGGTAGTAATGGTGGTAATCGTCCGTAGGTGGTGGCATCGTCAATGAAGGAAAAATTATTGACATAATAAGGAAATCCTCTTTAGAAGGCCACAACGTTGAACTACGTTGTAGAAATGTCACGAACGACAATGTGCAAAATATTGTTAACGATTGTTGAAAAGATATAATAAACTTCTTGACTTACTATTCGCCGGCATGTATAAGAACGCCGCCATTTGCGTGCGCCGTATTTAGTGACATATTCTTCAACTTTTACTTGAAATACCGCTGAAATTGTAACTGTTCGCCTTCTTCATCAGCTGATTCATAAGTGATAAGTATGACGCACTGCGCAAGCGTATCTTGTCACAATCACAACATAGTATAGCGAATGACACGGTACAGTAAAGTATACCGAGTGTTCCACAAAAAAATGTTCTAGATAAACACTTACTAATTATACTTAATTGTAAGCACTGAACACTCTATTTACATCGTATTCAACAAATACGTATCATAGTTCGATCTTAAAACAAATATGACTTGGAAAGCTTTTAATCTGCTTCTAATATCAGATAGAATACGAGACTGTTCACAACTGGGTTTTTGGTGTGCCCAGTATAGTGCTGCCATCAAGTCAACGTGGAACCACAAACGAGATATCAGAGTGGAGCACAAAACCAAGCCTCGCATGGAGGTTTCGTGTCACACGTTCTGAAATACCGACATTGTTCAAAATTGGTACATACGTATAGCTTTCTTGCCCCCTCTACCTAAACGGTTGTCGACTCTGAAAATACAATGTTACCGCGGGAGCTCGAGACTTTCCAACTCGTTGAATCTTCGGAGCAACGTTTGAAACTGAAAGTTCAATCCATGCAACAAATTATATTTTTTAACGTGATATCGTTATATATATATATATTAATTATTCTCAACGAAACTGTACTAATAAATAGGGAAACGTAAAAAATTATATCATTTATATTTTATCTTACAAAATAACTATTTCCATCAATTATAAACTAGTTGATACTTCCTACAGATCGACATTACTGTAATTGTAAAAAATTTACATTTGCGCCCTTAGTATAAAATGAGATCGTAGTTCCTTAACAGAAACGAAGAGTTCTTCAGAATCTAGAAGTACAGCTCTTTTTATTGTACGAATACATACATATGAGCCGTTTATTTTGAAAGTGGCATAAGTCACTTTACCATAATGAAAAGTGGTGATTTTTTAATGTTTATACAAAATTATTTATACTGAGAAAAATATCAGTATCCTGAGATAACAAATACAAGTAAATCTTCTCGAAAGTTAGCATCCATATTTTTGAACGTGTTAAAACGCAAATAATATATAAATATATAAATATATAATATATAATATAATATAAATATAAATATATAATATATAAATATATAATATAATATAAATATAAATATATAATATATAAATATATCGACTTAAAAACAAAGTGACTTATGCCACTTTCAAAATAAACGGCTCATATGTAGATCTATCATTTCATCACTCATGGAAATCAGGGGATGAGCGCATCCGAACCACCCCTAAGTTGTACGCGCTGATTGGATAACCGTGGTTTTTATTAATGGTTGATTGCTTCCTAATTCTGACCATGATTTTCATTTGTAACAAATTATGGAGTATTGAGACACGATTACAATTTCTGATTGTAGGTGAAGGAAACAGTTTTCTTGCTTATACGTTATTGGTCGGAAAAGCGGCTTTGCTCAAAGAAGACAAAATTCAAGGTATACAAAAAACGAAATTGTTCTCGTAATCGTGAAGTACATACATATTCGCCTGACGTTCGCCGTCAAGAAATTCCGATTTTTCTAAAAGAAAGGAAACCCTTGTCCACGTATTATTTTATTATTTTTTTATCCTATTATTTTATTGTCTGATTTTATATATATATATATAAGCGAAATTTGACATGCATTTTGTTTGCAAGCAAGAAGAACATTGCAAAAAGGATTCAACTTTCGTCGGTCAAATTTTCCGGTAGATCGTTTTCACGGGGGGAAGCGGAAGCGCGCGCAGAAATCAATGCCGCAAATATTTGAAGCATGCGCCAAAGGGGGTCGCGGATCACGATCCGTATTACGCGTAAAGAAATAAATACGGTGGTGATCGAGTGCGATTAAACTGGTCGGTAAAAAGTGTCAGGTATTGTATCGCACGGTCGAGTTAAGTGGAAACCAGCGAGCTTCGAACGCCGAACGCCGAACGCCTATCGAACGATGGACTAATAAAAAAGCGTTCCACCAGTTCTCATTCTATCTTGCCTGTCCTCACACAAAAGCTCCGGAAAAGCGGCGAAACATGGATGAGAACTTGAGCCGGGGTTACGTGCAATTGGGCAAAGCGAGGGGCATGAACGAATTTAAATTTTCCAACGGATTCACGCATTTATCACCGCCGGTCGACAAACGGAACTTCGTCTACTTTACTCTGATCCTTGGCGGCATTGGCTTCCTCTTGCCATACTACAGGTCATGCCGCAATAAGACGCTATCTTTGCTACCCGTGTGTCAGCATTTCGAATGTCAAAGACCTCTGCTGTTCCTTTCTAATATCTATTTATGATTTCCTTTCCATTTGCATGAATAGTTGTACGAAAATGTTTGTACTAAAATAGTTGAAATCTCTTGTTTCATTGTATCGTTGTACGATCTGTATCTAGACACACCACCGACCGGAAGTTTGAGATCGTTTTATTCGTATGACGTGAACTTGACCTTTCCAATGAAGAAACTGAACATTTTTCGTTAATATTCTAAAAGAACTTAAATATTGATTTTTAGCAAACCGTTGACCGGTAGATTTGTTTATTATCGTAATAAATTATCGAATTCAAATTTTAGAACAGGTGTATTTATTTTCTTTACAGCTTCATCATAGCGGTGGATTATTTCCAAACAAAGTATCCTGGCACCACAGTGATTTTCGATATGTCTCTTGTCTACATTATCATGGCTTTCTTCGCGGTGTTTGCAAATAACATTTTAGTTGAAACACTGTCTTTGAACACCAGAATAACGTTTGGTAAGATTCTGCGATTTGTGGCATGTTTCATTAGATTTGTGTTATACGTCGATAATTATTTCAGGATACCTGGTGTCTTTTGTTACATTGAATTTTGTTATGATATGCGAGATCTGGTGGGAATTATTCGGTGTTGCTACTTCCTATACAATTAATCTAGTTGCTGTTGCAATTGTATCCCTTGGGTGCACAGGTAAAAATTATTATTTGGAGTAACTTATTCGTTTATTTGTTAATGTTGCGTTGTTAATGTTCATAAATTACAGTTCAACAATCGAGTTTTTATGGATATACATCTATGCTTCCCAGTCGATATACTCAGGCAGTAATGACTGGAGAAAGTAAGTAGATCAGTCTTTTTTGACACATGAAAAATGGACACAATATTTCATAAGAATTACCTGTTTTTATACAGGTCTTGCTGGTCTTCTGGTATCTACTGATCGCATATTTACAAAATTACTGCTTGATGATGAACGTAGCAGTACCTCTATGTTCTTTTGCTTGTTGAATGCAACAATCCTGATGTGTTTCGTTTTACATCAAGTGGTTCGTAAGACTGACTTTGTGCAATTTTATATAACGCTATGTCAGGAAAGAAACCGAATAACGTTGGAACCGACTGAAGATGTGGGACTGGTATGTACCGTGCCTATTGTTGAAATAAAAACAGTGGACGATCTTTGTTAAGTATTATTTTATGATAGATGGATCCTCTGGATCAAGTTGGAGATTCTGCGAAGGGTCAATATGGTGTTCTGAAAATTCAGACTAGCCCTTTAGGAACCGATTCTGCAAATGGAAATACTGATTTGAGTGGTACGTTGTGAATAATTCAAAATTTTTTGTGAACGCTATTAATTCATGTGACCTGTTTATCTTAATTTTTAGGAATGAATCAATATTCAGCGTTTTCATTCAGTAATCCTGTTTACGAACCCAGTGCACCAACAAATCCTCCTGGTAGTGCGGGTCCTACTTATAAGGTTGAAGATGTTGTTGTTATGAGAGGAACTTATGGAAGTCAAACTAGTAAACCATGGCCTGAAATTAAAAGTGTGTTAGTTTATTTTGTCCAATAACAATTTTTTATATAAAATATCATTTTAAATAACATACAATGCTTTTAGGAGGTCTACTCGCAAGACTTGAGGTGGCTAAGATCATATTTCCATACATGGCTAGCATTGGTATCGCGTATTTTGTTACACTTTGTCTGTATCCTGGTATTATGTCAGAAATAATTTCCTGTAGACTTGAGTCATGGATGCCAGTGATCCTCATGGCTGCATTTAATGCTTCCGATGTATTGGGCAAAGTATTACAGATTATTCTTTATTACAAAAGATGTACAAAATTCGGTTTAAATTAAAAACGATTCATACATTAATTGATATTTCAGATTCTTGCACTGATACCTTACGAATGGAAACGTACCGAGTTACTGTATTTTTCATGTGGCCGGGTTATACTGATACCTTTATTCTTGTTGTGTGCACTTCCACGAGGTGCTCCAATCCTTGGCGGTGAAGAGTATCCACTGCTATTTTCCTGTTTACTTGGCGTTACAAACGGTATTGTGGGGTCAGTACCAATGATGCAAGCACCTACTAAAGTTCCAGAAGGACACCGTGAATTAGCAGGTATTTCCACGAGTAATTGAAATTTATTTCAGCAAATATACGAAACTATTAATTTATCAGGAAACATCATGACTTTATCGTATACCATGGGTCTGACTGTTGGCTCATTATTGGCATATATGATGGACGCATGCTTTGGATTAGCAGTACAAACTAAAGATGTCTGTACTAAGACGGTATACTCTACATTAGCATCGCATATGGATAATGCAACAATAAGTACTTTGGTAAATGCTATGTCTTCCACTACTATTCCCTCGATAGAAAACATTACACCGAAGGTAAACACTACCATTAGTGCTTTGACGTCTATTTTAACATCCACTGTAATGTTTAATACTACTGTTAGTACTTTCACAACTAATACCATGGAACCATCTACAACATTGTCCTCTAAAATTTTAGTTAATATTACTAGTTTAGTTAACAATACAGTTTTCCATCACTAGGACACGCACGTTTGTGTGCTGTGTTGAATCTGGTGCTTTTTGTGAAAAAACTTACTATCAAAACCTATGTATAAAACATTCTCTTGATCGATTACCCATTCTTTGTATCCTTCTGTTTCCTAACACCATAGCATTCCTATCGGAAACATCATTAAGTTTGAACGTGTTAGAAGATTTTAAACCGTTTGAAACTTAGAAGAAGCTGTAATATATCGCCAGATTGAACACACACACAAAGGTTGAAATTTTCTACCACTGTCATTCCATGAATTGTAGAAATTATTTTACCTGACTATTTAAATAACATGATGGGTAAGAAATATTTTTAAATGTCTAATGAACGATAGTCAATAGGAGGAAACAAAAACGGAGTAATGCTGAATGAAACTGAGCAGCAAGTTTTCATTATATTTCACTAATCCATCTTCAAATTCTACAAACATATCCGTTGAAAAAACTGCTTCTAGGTCTTGTAATATAGAAAGATACGTGTAGATATTCTTTGAATTTTTCTAGTTATTGTAAGTTGTTTCTTTAAAAGGTATCGTGCCTTTCATACCATTGTGAATAATTTTTATTGTTCATTGCTTGTCAAATATTATTGTTAAAGGTGAGAAAAAAATATATGAATTTGTTGCATATGTACAAAAGAGTGAGTGTTATTTAATCCTTAAATAATACAGTAATTTACAATTATAGACATGGCAGAAACGATTTTCAAAATTTTAGTCTATTTACGAATTTATGTTATTGAGGATAATACTCTTCACTGTTTCTGCCCAGTAAATTAAAGTGAATGATGTGGAATTAAATCAATTTTTATGGTCAGAATAAATATTATTTAAGGATTAAATTAAATTTTTTAAGGACGTGGCAAGTATCTTATTTCTTAAAATTGTTACCTTAAACTATATTTTCTTAGAACCGTTTGGTATGACAGTTCTTCTTGATAATTCTGACGTGCGATGCAATTGTTAGATCAGTGATTGGGAAGTTAGCAGATGTAAGTGATGAAGTTATTGTGCAAGTATATTCTGTACGAAATTGTTATATTTCCGCGTAAATAATTAATATATAATTGTAAGATACGTATACTTCCGCAAAAAAATGAAGAAGAATAAAAAGCATTTGTCTTTTTTCAGCACATAGTTCTGTCTACGTTACATGTCCAGAATATATCCACAGTTGTGTGGGAGATTATAATCAAATCTTCAATCTTTATAACATTAAGATCATGTCGACGTGTCGTAATAGAATTTAAACGAGTAACTTAAAAAAAAGAGAGGGGAGGAAGAGAATTCTTTGATTCTTTGTTTTGAAATGAAACAAATAATGAAGCTCATCCAAGCTCGTGAATTAAATGGATTTTAAAATAACAGACGAATCGTACGTGTGCGGATGTGTTAACTCGGATGCTTTTTTACGAGCATTCCGATGCATTATTTCAACTATAAAATTGTATTACATTAAAAGATAAATGTATATGCGTAATATTTACCAATGTATCTCTCATCCAAGCTGCTTACAGACATATTTCTTACATTTAATGCAAATCTAGAGATCATTTAACAAGAACTGCATAGGATTTTTCTTGTTCATACATAATACACGCATAATGCATCACAGGTTTTCATTCATTTCATATAATGCTCTGTTTTGTTAAATAATGAGAAAAACATGTAGGCCTGATGTAGACACGAGGAAGAATATCGCATCCACTAAGTACCTTATTTTTACATATAATTATTATATATTTCGAGATCTTTGAAGAAATTTGAGAAGGTAATTGGTGTTAGGGCGAGAACATTAAGAACATAATATGTACGAATTCTTGCAAGTGAATAATAATTTCTAAACGAACTTTTTATGACATGTTTCTTTGACGAAATAATTTTATGAAGTCTTTCAGATTTATATATACATCATAGGGAGATACTTTACTCGTCGTTTTTATGCGATAGTGGCATATTTTATATTGCTTTTTAACTTACACCATAAACATATAAGTTCCAAGATATACCTATCAAAACTATATAAAATAAATATTCCAAGGGTGACGTTCGTTGCGAAGGTAAACATATTATGAATATTTATTTGTAAGACGACTAAAGAAATGATGGTTAAATGAAATGAGTGAGGTATATGGCTATGAATGTACAGTGTAAGAATGCAGTTTGAAGATTATGTGTAGAAAATATGGAGAATGATTTTGTTTTATATCATATTTTTCATCCTAGTATTTTTTCCACGAACGTTGTGTGGGTTGCGTGATGGAGTAAGTTTTTGAAAAATCCACGATACGTACGCACTCAATGCGTAAAAATACTACAATCAATTACGAATACAAGGGTAGTTGTAATTGATTATTAGATTAATCATTCATGTATTAAAAACTGGTCCATATCGGAATTAATTAATATGTACAAGTAATAAATATGTATATTATTTTCTTTAATATACCTTATCCAACTATTATATTCTTACGAATCGAACATTACACTCTTAATCGTTATCATTTAGTCAATACTGGCTTTCATAACGTTTTCACTATTTTAAATAAGCAATCTCTCTCTAATAAAAGAAAGGATAGTTATCAAATACTTTAGTGTATCACTAAAAATATTAATTATTCAACAAATAATGATCAAGAAAGTTAAAAGAAATATTTCGTTTGTAAAAAATGATTATCCCATGATTACATTCTGAAAAATTCTATGTCGATATCTAGAATTACTCTTTCATTATAACATTCGCATCATTGTGTTAGTCACTTAAATCTCTCTTACAATGCAATGCAATGACAAATATCATTCTATCACAGTTAATGTTACTTTAAGAAAAGAAGAATATTCGTTTAAGGCTATATAGAACTGTTTTCAAGTTAGTTTAGATACTTAGCAGCCCAGTCGATTCGACCATGAAGACTTCCGCTACCCTTCGCGTTCACCGTATTTCCATACACGCTCGGTTGGAGCGTTACCTTAGTTGTAGATTCTACGAAATGAATGGATTCTTAATAACGTAGACTGTTACATGAGCAATAAATAATAGATGCGATGTAAGCGTATCGAAAGTTAACTTCAGGCACTCACTGATGTTTTGCGTGCCATAAACACTAGGATAAGGCAATCTCAAAGTTTGATCCGTTATGTAACGATTTCTTGGAAGGTAATACTGTTTTGTCTGATTCTCAATAGAATTCCTAGGTACCCAAAAGGAATCTGTGAACTGTTCATACTTTTCCACAGGTTGGCCAACCAAATTCCTGATTAACTTGGGTCGGTTTGTGTCAGAGTCACCATTTCTTTAAAAGAAAAAAAAGATAAATATTAGAAACATATAATACCTTATAATGTTATCATTATCTAATCGATCACTTTTTTTATAGTAGACAATAGTAGAATAGCGTTCAGACTTGTATGTTTCATCTACTTTTCCGTATTATAAATAAAGGTAAATCAGTTAGGATTAGTTAACACTGATTCACCTTAAAGAAAGATTGCAATGTTGTAAGAAATTTCTTTGTCACACCGTAGAAATAAAAAAATATCGTGGAAAGAGTTATTAATGAATACGTAAGCAGTATAAGCAAACGCCACAGCATTGGACAGAAAGTTCCAAATATTTATTGGGCAGAGAATTCTCTTTAATAAACGTGTTTCCGTTAGTGCATGTAACAAAACTGTATGGTACAGATGCAAATTTTTAAACACGTTGGGATTCCTTTGTGAAGAAATTAATTGGCATGCAGAGTGCTTGATGAATTCATTTAGCCAGAACAGGCAGCCCTTCGATACATATCCCAATATTAGCAGCAAACAGAGATTCAGGATATGCTTCAGGAACTTTCGATACCTTGACGACAGGCTTGTACTGGGCCCAGCAACGTACCGGGCCACGCTGAGGTAGTGTTGTTTCGCAGAGACTTTCCTACCATTCTTCAGAGTAGACTGCGGCTGATCCCAGGTCAGGGGTGGTGGTTCATTCCACGACGGCAACGTCCAGTTGTTCTGCTTTAAATTGTCTGGCAAATAATTGGCGTTCCAATTGGCACGGTTCTCTTTGTACACTCGATCTGGGGCAAGCTTTACGTTCACATTTTCGGGAACGATCTTGCTTCTGACGTATAGACAATCAGAGGATTAGTTTATAAACAGTCCGGATGGATTAAATCCACTTAATTACGGCTTTGATTACGAAATTCGGGCAACGCACCCCAGAAGTTCGGCAAAATCGTCCTCGTCCCATTTCGGGACGTTGTTCTCGCGGACGTAATTATTGTGGTTCAATAATGGTAGCATCGGTTGTTGTTGTTGCTGCGGTTGCATTATTTTCTCCTGCGCTCTGAGACAGTTGACAGTATAGTTTATGATCATAACCGTTAAAACAGAGCGAATACAAAGACGATATGATAGTTTACCTGACTTCTAAGGAATCGTCTAAGACGTCCTGCGAATAGTTGTACTGCTTAGGCATGGGAGGTGGAAGATTTACTTTGTGTAATACCAGATCTCGATGAGACGCAACTCCGATCTTTTTACTGTTGACTAGACGTGGCGCATTGACTTGAAAGTAGGGGTACCTGAGGAAAAATAATTTTCTAGAGCCTATTTATTTTAATATGCATATATTGATATACAGTTTTTGATATAAAAGGAATTGATCAAGGTAAAAGTTTATTATTAGTTCACTAAACAATATATAAGACAGTCTTCTAGTCGATACAATATCAATACAATACATATATCAATATAAGCATATTAAAATCAATAGGCTTTAGAAAATATAATGTGTGAGAGCGTGAATGGAGAGAATAAGAATTATTCTTATAACGCGTTAGGCTTCTAAACGTATAGGTCCCAGTTACTATACAAATCAACGGTATACCAAAAGTACCTTTTTGATTGCGAGCACTTCTATACAAAAAGAGGTTTCTACAAATCTGAGTATACAGGGTGTCTCAGGTTTTAATGTTCAAACTTCGTCAGTGTATTCTATGGCACAAAGTAAGAAAAAAATGTTATGTAAACATAGGTCATATAGAGCTTTATTAAGAAGTTATTTATTTATTTTATATAGTTATTTATATTATTATTATAATATTATTATTATTATATTATTATGTTATTATTATTATATTATTATGTTATTATTATTATATTATTTATATTATTATATATAGTTATTTATTTAGTTATTTATTTATTTATTGAAGTTAATTCAACTTGCTGTTACTGCGAGCATTGGCTTGAATAGATCAGGACATGCCGCGTGTTTATGTAAGCTGTGTTTATTAATACATTTCGAAATGTCTGTTGACAATACATGATTGACATCGATCGATGATCGAATTTATGACCGTGCGAATTTCGTTTCTATTCTCTTTCATTTCATTGAACGCATTATTAATCTTTTGAATCAATTCATGACGTGAATTTATTTGTGTTTGATACACTTTATCTTACAAACTTCCCCACAGATAAAAGTCGAGTGGCGTAAGATCGGGCGATCTTGGTGGTCAAGAGATTGACCCGCCCCGACCTATCCATCTTTGAGGAAACCGATTATTTAATCATTGCCGAACTTGTGTCCCGTAATGTGCCGGACAACCATCCAATTGCATCCACATCCTTTGCACAAACTACAATGGCAGATCTTTCAAAAGATACGATAATTCGTTTTTTTAGAAAATTCAAAAATTCAGTTGTGGTCAACCGATCCAGTAGAAAATAAGGCCCTACTATCATATCATTGTACAGGCCTGCCCATACATTGCATTCGAATTGATGAATACATGATTATTATGCACATTAAAAAGTCCTCCTCTTGTAAACGTCGATTCATCGGTCTACAATACTTTTGTTGGAAATGGAAACAAATTATCTTGTTGCACTGCACGCACTGTACCATTGACAGAATTCCAATCGTTTTTCATAATCAGCTGGTAGAAGCTCTTGTACCCTTGTGTAATGATACGGATGTCTATTACACTGTTCGACAAAATCAAACTTTTTTTCTGGGTTCCTATAGCCACTATGAAATTCTTGTAGAGCTTCACTCCCTGAACAAGAATCCGAAAGCCGAATTGCTCCATCACCCTCAGTTTTTAAAATAAACGAACTTTTGTAAGAACCCAAAATTTTCGACAAAAATGAGGTATTGCATGAAACGTTAGAAAGTTCTAATCGGTGTTAAAAGATAGAGGAGAGTTTCCCGAATATAGTGGCATGCAATTTATTAATTGTTTTTGGTCCTAAATAGCAACAAATTGATGTCAAAGTTTAAAAAAGTGACGTGAGCAGTTTCTCCGCAATATTTTTGTATTTTTACGAAAAGTTTTTTGTTCGGCACGAAAACTCTAC